CAGCCGAGTCCAACTGGCCAGTACTTCCTCGTCCTGAACTTCCACCATTCACTTCAGGACATTTACTCAAGACATTGTTATCACAGCTTTCTTCAGAACTTCCAACACTTGTGGTACTGGTTGGAGTCGTCGAACCATTTGTGGGCGTTCCTGAAGAGCTATTTCCCAGCGAGCTAGGTCGTTGNACACTTGTGGTACTGGTTGGAGTCGTCGAACCATTTGTGGGCGTTCCTGAAGAGCTATTTCCCAGCGAGCTAGGTCGTTGATGATGGTGACGATGGTGATGATGGTAGTTATCAGAATCACCAACTTTCTGAACAAAGGTAATATCTTCATCACAGTCCTCCTCTTCTTCATCATGATAAGAGGCTATTTTCGAGGAGGAGGAGATGATAAGCGGCTTATCAACCATCTCCTCCTTCACCACCCACGGATGGGCCATCGCCTGCGCCGCCGTCATCCTCTTTCGAATGTCCTTCCGCAGACAGGCGAGGATAAAGTCCCGAGCTTCCGCAGAAACCTTAATTCCTTCATCGTTATTATCATCACCGAAATCAAAAGCCGCCGCGGTGATATTCGCAAAGGTGTCGTGCTTATCAACGCCTAGGAAAGGCGAACTCCCGTAGAGCATCGTGTAGGCGATGCAGCCCACGGACCAGAGATCGGTGCCAAAGCCAATCGGCTCGTAGTTGAGTATTTCCGGTGCTGGAAAAACGGGAGTTAAAATTGGAGTTAAAAAGGGAGTTCAAAACTGAAAGTAAAAAACTTACCAATAAACTCCGGCGTCCCATAAACTCCCTTAATGTCGGCCTTCTCCTTCAACAGCCTCGAGATTCCGAAATCAATCAGCTTAATCTGCCGCGAGCCCTCTTCTGTCAGCAGAATATTCTCCGGCTTGAGATCCTAAAACCAATAAAAACATTAAAAACAGTTCATAAAAACTCCAAAAAACTCCTTACCAAATGCACAATCGACTTCTCATGAAGATGAACCAGGGCGGAAAGTATCTGACGCATAAAAAGTCTCGCTTCCGCCTCAGTCAGCCGCTCATAGTCGGCAATGTAGTCCTGCAGTTCGCCGCCCTTCATTCTATAGGGAAAAAGGGGGAAAAATTAAAAATCAAGAATTAAAAACTGTACAAAATTCTCTTTTTAAAATTTCACTTACAGCTCAAAGACGAGAATGACCTGCGTCACATCCTCAAAGACGTCCACCAGCTGAATGATGTTCTTGTGCGGTGCCAACTGGCTGACAATGGCAATCTCCAGCTCAATGTCCTCCGTCTTCTGGCCGAAACGGGCCGAGCGAGACTTGCGAATAAACTTGGCCGCCACCTCTTGCTTTG